GTTTGGGGCCGGGCGCTGGGAACAAACGTGCATCTGTTAAATTTGACAATAAGGTCCTAGAGGGAAGCTGCCAAGATGGGGGAGGCGCGTGGGGGCGGAAGGCCGAGTGGGGTGGGGGAGAGCCAGAGTCTCAAAAGGCGACGCCGACGCGCCTGGCCCAGGTATTATGTTGGCGGAAGGAAGGTGAGGGGAGCAGCTGCTCCTTCTCGCGGGGTGTGTATGGGAGCGAGGGTGCCTGTGTCCCTGTGAAGAGTACACACCGAGCTGCCCAACATATGTCGCCACAAATCACAGTGTCTCTCCCTCCTCCCAGCCCCCACCCCCACTCCCGGAGCGCATCGGGACAGAGGACACAACAGAGAGAGGCGCTGAGAAGAGGCGCCGTTTCAACAGGTGTCTCTTCGCGCAAGGCACCTTTTCACGCATTCACCGTCTCCTACGGCGGCTGCAATAATGTGGACACTTTGTTTCCAAGCGCTGCGCGCAAGCTGGGGACGCCCGGGGGAGGAGAGGTTGGCCAAGGAGGGGGGGAATGTGTAAATAAAGACCTCCGGAGCTCCTGGAGGCCTGCGCCCTCTCCTCCCTTTGTTCTCACACTCCCGGGGCCAGAGCTCCCTCGTGCGCCCTGGGGGGTGGCATATGGCGCCCTCTCACCTACCCAAGAAAAAGCAGCAGCCACCCATTCAAGAGCGCACGAGGTCTCTGGGCCCGGGGAGGGGAAGTCTCTCAGGGAACGACCTCGCTCCCAAAGCAGAGGAGAAGCCTGCCTTATCTCTCCGCACCGCACCCTCGCCACCCCCTCAGCTGGCACAGCAGCCGTTGGGTGGGGAGTTGCAAGCGCCAGGCAGCACCAGCCTGCGGAAGCGCCACAGCTACCCGGCAGATGAAATATGGGGCTTGTGAGCCCTTGGAGACCATATGCTTTCAATAAAAGAAGACAAATAGGACCGAGATAGGCCATGCAGCCAACCTGTTATAAATGGGTGGCAATTGGGCCAATGTACACGGGAGTAGGGCCCCCGGGGGGAGGCCTGCTCGGTGCCAAATCCATGTGTCAGCTTCTGGGACAGGTGTGCCCAGGGGCCAGGGACCAGGTCTCCCCCCTCCGGGTTTATCACAGCAAAGGTAATATTGTGCTAACTATGAGTAAACAGTCATTGTGAAAAGGAGGGAGAGTTTATCAGAGGCGAACTAGTTGGGGGTGGCCTAACAATAAAGTAGCCCGCCATGGGAGCAGGTGATGGCTGGCTGCGCTGACTCCGGCGGTAGATGTTTTCCAAAGCACTCCACTTTACAATCTCTTGTAATTATTTATTAAACGAAATCTATTTATTATTATTTTAGCAAACACTGGAGACAGGTGGGGCTTTCTTTCCCTGGTCTCCTTTTGTTTGAAGGGCTGTTTGAAGTGGCCAGTCTCGGCCCTGGCAGCTCGCTCACCAGATTTTTGTCTTCCCCTCTTTCAGTGCTGAGGCAAAGGCGAGAGAAAGAAGCCCCCTCCTCTGGCAAGCCATTAGCTATTCAGCTTCCTAAGGCTCCCCTCCCTCCCCGCTCGATTCTCAAAGAGCCCCCACGAACTGCTAGGATTCCCCCCGCCAACGGGAAGACAGCAGAGCCAGCGAAAGCCGTCCTTCTTTTCCAGTCTGTCCGCAATCTCCAGGCGACTTACTGTCACCTCTCTCCTGAGCCCCTGCAGCCTCCAAGCAAACCTAGCTCCCCACAGGGTTGCAGGACACAGGGGGGCCAGAGGGCCTGGAGATGGTGACTGACCCCTACCCACAAGAACAGGGTCTTCTACCCGAGGGAAGCGCCGTTTCACAAGCACCAACTAGAGCGCACGGCGTCAACATCGCCATGCGCCTTCGTCATTAAAAGCCCCGGGATTGATTTTGGAGAGGGCTCTGCGCGTCCCCAGCAGCAGAAATAGAGAGCAGGAATCCTCGATCTCTAAGCCCCTGGGGATCCTCGACCTTCTGTCCCGCCCTCCTGAACAGAAACTCCAGGAGTCCTGGCGTTCAGCAACTAAGCGGCTTCTCCCGGGCCGCCTGTGCGCGCTCCTTCTCAAGGTTGCTTTTTGCGCATAGCAGAAGTGGTGGCAGCCTGCAAGCCCTGGAAGACCCTGAGATGGAGGTGCTCTAGGGAGGCTAGAGAAAGATACCAAGAGGGCCTCAGGGTTCTCTGCCCTCCAATAATTCCCCCAAGAATCTTCAGAATCTTCTTTGCCGAGAGATTCTCAGGCTGGGGTCACCACCACTTCTTAGACAGTCAGCGCAGGCTCCAGGCAAGGCGAGCCCAGTTCCTGTTTTCCATCTAGGTTCACGGCAGGTCTCTGGTCCTGGGCATGAGCTGCTCTTCATGCCGCTAGGGAACCATAGGGTTGCTGGGATTCCCCATGAACAAAGCTTCCCCACAAAGCCTGCCTGGAGCCCTGGGCCCTCGGGAAGCACTCGGCCATTCCCCTCCCAGTTCCCAATTCGCATGGAGTATGTAAATCAAGCAAAACCGGGCTCTAGGACAGGAAAGTCTGAAAATGAGGCTGGAGTGGACACTGGAGTGGACACCTTGGAGCTGAGTATGGGGTCATTATGGTTTGGTTTTTTTCATGTGACCCAGTTATCCTTCTCAGACCACAGGCTTCCCTCTATTTTCTGCACTTAGGGTCTCTGGTAGCATAGTGGTTACAAATTGGGCTGTTAATAAATAGCAAGGTCAGCTGTTTGAAACCACCAGCTTCTCAAAGGGAGAAAGAGGCTTTCTACTCCCTTAAAGAGTTACAGTCTCAGAAACCCACAGGGGCAGTTCTACTCTGTCCTATAGGGTTGCTATGAGTCAGCGTCTACTCCATAGCAGTGAGGCTGTGTCTTGAGAGAGACTTGGGACCTGAGTTCGACATGGTTTGATAAGACTTTCTAAGTGACTATGGTAAGTCACCACCCTCACCCCCCACCCCTCCTCGATGGCTACATCTATAAAATGGGTCTCAGTTCCCATTCCTGGGTCTAGACCGCAGGTCTGCCTGGCGTTATGACCTATGGGAGGAGCCACAGCAAAGATGGAGCCAGAGTCCGTGTGTGTGTGTGTGTGTGTGTGTGTGTGTGTGTGTGTGTGGTGGTAGTGGGGTGGGGGGTGTCTCTGTTGGTCTTCATCCTAATTTGGGGTTTCAGTCCCCTGCTCTCAGCGCTGCACCCCAGTTCTAGAGCGCCCCTCTCTTCACTCCCAGGCACACTCATCTTTGACCTTGTAGTTAATTCCACCCCTCACCCCACGCCCCCATCCCGCAAAGGAACCTGGGCAGTGAGTCCTCACTGGTGCGGACAGCTGACCTACCTCCACCCCTCACTCCATTCCCTCAGTCTCCCAGCCGGGTCTGACCCACTGCCAGCTTCGAGGAGGCTTAGAGGGTCCGACTCCTTAGAAAACCAAGCCTCTCCTGCCTCGGGAGGCTTAGCCTGGGCCCCAGTCGTTTCGGCGTTGGCTTCTCCCCTAGGGTAAGTCTCGGTCAAGAGAGACGAGCGGAAGCTGCGACCCTTCACCCCAAGTGACCGGAAGCAGAGACCACGGAGTGTCCGAGGCGGGGACAAGAGGGAGGGGCGGAGAAGAAAGGAGACAAGCTAGGTTTCCAGTCACTTTGGGGAAGAGCTAGTGCGGCAAACGGAGGGCCAGCGCTCCGTGCAGGATAATACTGAGGCAAGGAGCTGCGCCCGGGACCGCTTGCAGCCCCTGCCCTAGGGCGATTGGGCCCCAGAGCTGAGGGGGAGAAAAAGTCGATAGGTGCCGGAAGCGCCAGCACCCCGTAGCGCCCAAAAGACCCAGCCCAGGTGGAGGCCTTAAACTCTGGGGCTTGCTGGGAACTCCTGGCCCGCTCTTGACCCTGCACCCCTCCCGATCCTCACCCCGCGTGCCACTCCCAGAACGCAGTTCACAACTGGTGGCGGTGGAATGTCTCTTCAAAATTCCCATCACAGCCTCCCTCTGCCTCTACGGAACGATCCTAACTTGTTGGTTTGAGGATCCAAGCGCCGCTATCTGGAGAAGTTTGGGATGGCATCTCCGGGCGTGGCTGCCCAGCAGACAGCCCCTTAGGCAGGCAATCTTCCCAGGATGGAGCAGGTAGTGAACCTTGTGTTCCCAAGCCTGATCCACAGCACAAGAGCGCAGGGTGGCAGCTAGAATTAGTGGAGCTTCTTCAAACTCGTAGCCAGAACTCCTGGTTCCTTGTTCCCTCTCTGCCACCACTTCAGTGGGCTGTTAGGGGCTGGCCGCCTCCCTCCCAGAGCCGAAGCGTTCCCATTAGTTACACGCTAGGAGTGGCCTCCCCTTCAAGTTCACCAGAGTCCCAAGAGAGGGTCTACGCAGAAGTCAAAGAACGCTGCAATACCAGCAAAGAGTTCAGGCTGGCCAGTGGCAGTTTTGCACCCTGAGCGAGAAGTTCTTTGAGGAACCGAGAGTTGCTGGGACAGAGCCCATGGAAAAGAGCAAACAGAAGGCGCTCCCCTCCCCGCCCCCCTGTCCCAAGCCCTTTGTCCGGAATCCAGCTGTGCCCCGCGGGGGAGGAGGGGACTCGCGTGGCGCAGCCGGGGGACCCGGGCGCTGATTGGCTGGCGGCTCGGGCAGCAGCCCGGCAGGCACGCTCCTGGCCCGGGCCGAGCAGATAAAGCGTGCCAAGGGGCACACGACTTGCGGTTCAGGAATTCCCAGCGGTCTGGTCTTGCTGCCACACCCGCGGAGAGTGACTGTCAGGGCCTGAGTCGCCGCAGGTTTCGCGCGTCTCTGATCCCGGCGGGCAGCGCAGGACGTCTCAGACCTTGCAACTGACATTTCTGTACCGTTTTGCGCCCAGCAAAATAGGTAACGCTCTCTTTTGGCACTTGGAAGGTCCCCAGGGGAGGACTGGGTGTGGGGCTGGAGATCCCCGGACGCGGCGGGGTGGCTTCCTTGTTTTCCTCTGCTCCCGAGTGACCGAGAGACATTTACGGATGCCTCTATTACCCCGCCACAGGATGGCGCCTCATCCCTCGGGTGCGCCTGCTGTCCAAGTGACCCTCCAGACGGAACAGCCCTTCCCGAGCGCCTCAGACGACGAAGGGTCCTGCTCGGCGTCCGCCCCGCCCAGCCCCACCCAGGCACCCCCAGACGGCGCGGAAGCCCAAGGGGTCAGCTGCCAAGGGGCGTCAAGAAAGCTCCGGGCGCGGCTCGGGGGACGCAGCCGGCCCAAGAGCGAGTTAGTGCTGAGCAGACAGAGACGGAGCCGGCGCAAGAAGGCCAACGACCGCGAGCGCAATCGTATGCACAACCTCAACTCCGCGCTGGACGCTCTGCGGGGCGTGCTGCCCACCTTCCCCGAGGACGCCAAGCTCACCAAGATCGAGACGCTGCGCTTCGCGCATAACTACATCTGGGCGCTGACGCAGACGCTGCGCATGGCAGACCACAGCTTCTACCGGCTGGATTCGCCGGCGCCGTCCTGCGCAGAGCTGAGCAGCCCAGGGGGCGGCTCCCCGGGGGAATGGGGCTCCCTCTACTCCCCAGTCTCCCAGACAGGCAGCCTGAGTCCCGCTGCCTCTCTGGAAGAGCTGCCGCGTCTGCCGGCGCCCGCCTCCCCAGCCTGCCTGCGCCCGGGCGCCCTGGCCTTTTCAGACTTTCTGTGAAGAGCCGCTGGACGGTGGCGAGGTGTCTGGAGAGAGGGATGGGGCGGCCGGGGATGGGCGGCAGCGACCCTACAGTACAATCGCTTCTCTTGGCTGTCGATCGCTGTCCCCTGGCGGCTCCCTAGCCCACGGGGAGGCGGACCTGATCGAATCCAGGGCCTTCGGCGCCGTGCCAAGTCCTGTTCTCGCGCCAGGTGGGCTCTGCCGGCTTCGTGCGTTTTGGGTCCCCTTCCCGAGGCCACCCCCAAAATCTCGTGCAACCAAGAATTGTAGCACTACAGAGTCCGAGATGTTTCTGGTCTCCGGACGCTCTACCCACCCGCACTCTAGGTCCGGTCTGTGTGTCTGTCTGTCCGCGACCTCTGCAATACGGCCTCAGCGCTTGCTCCCCTCGCCCTGCGTCTCTTCTCCAAAGATGTCTCTGCCCTGCCTTCCTCGAGTCCTAGTTTGCGGGACACTCCACTCTGCCTTAATCCGCAAAGACGACCTTCGGCTTTCTCATGCACTTTCCCCAGCCACAGTCTTCCTAGGGGCAGGAGGTCGGTCGGGAAACCAGCGTTCCCGGGAGGGACAGGGCCTCCTCCTACCCCGCCCCTCCGTGCGTCCTGTGCCTCCCTGACCTGGTGAGCAGCACCACTCCAACCAGGAGCACTGCGAGTCTCTTTGAAAAATCACTTTGTGAATTTGATGATTCCTTTTGAAATGAATTTTAGTACGGTAAATTATATAGCCCCTGCCCCTGTTTTACACGTCTGTATTTATTGATGAGATTTTTTTGTTTAAAAAAAATGACTTATGTAAAAATATCTTTTTTGCATAGAAACATTTATGTATTTTGTACATAAGATTGTTTAGAAACTGGTGAATGTGATTTTGAGCCAATTAAAAAGAAAGTGGGGGGAAGACACCTCTCAAAGTGTGAGCAAGGTGATTTGAAAGTGGGGCTTCGCGAGGTGGGCTGCTGCCTGCGCGACTGAAGCCAAAAGTGGCGTTTCTGTCCTGGGAAGAGGCGTGCCTCTTTTGGAGGGGGCGGGGGAATTTAGTTTGTGCATTCTGAAAGCAAGTTAGTTTCCCACGCCTAAAACGTCAAAGTTGCTTCTGCGAAAGCATTGGTCCGGCCTTCAAGTTCTGTTAATGAGGTAGCGACTGGTCTTCATTCAAAAAAAGCTTTAGAAGAAAGACCGGCCTGGAACTAGAGCTCCTCACTGGAGGGGCTGGCCCTTTTCTCTGCACTAGAGGCCTGCAGAAGTAGCCACTGTTATGTTTGACGGGAGGGAGGAAATGTAAAGCCAGCTTCAGGATCAGAGCCCTCAGGAACGCAGTGGCCATCCCAGGAATTTCCCCACCAAAGCCATAGAGGCCTAGAGCAGCCCGGGGCGCACACGCTCCTGCCGCCTGGTAGGGGCGTGTGCACTCGCTGGAGTCAGAGGACTAAGAAGGGAAAATGTGGCAGGTCTGACTGGAATCCCTGCCCTCAATCTGGATCATCAAGAAACGGTTCCAGGTTTCTAGCCAAGGTCCTCTGGTACCCCCAAATGGGTCTACTTTGGAGACTGAAGGCTGTCTCCGGAGTGCGGGTGGAGAGTCCCTACCTGGCTTCCGGGACCCCAGTGGTCTTGGGGAAGCCAAGCCGAGTCCAACAGTAAGAATCTGCAGGTTCAGCCTGTTTCTCGGGAACAGAAAATAGAAGCCCAGTATCCAATTTTGGGAGTTGAACCTCAAAGGCTCCCTTGGGTCCACCCGGTCAGTCCTTAAGGAAAAAAATCTGTGATCCCAGAGTGCCACGGCGCTGCCAGAGGCCAGAGTGAGTGGGCACGTGGTTCTCCCACGCCCCAGAGCCTAAGGTGGCAGCAGCTTCGCAGGGGTTAATGCCACTGGCGTCTCTGTTCCTCGCCCTCTCGGCTTCAGAATGAGCTTTTCCTCTCTCTCCCCCTGCTCCCTGGCCGCTCAGTTCTCAGGGGCCGGACTTAGGGGCAGGAAGGGGGACGCTGTAAACAAAGGAATGAACAGAGGCGTTGTTTCAGACGCGGGCTTTAATCTAAGAGGAAGAGATTAATGGGTTATTGGTGACCTCTGCAGCGGCCAATTTTCCACCTGGGGCGCCGCCCGCGGGCAGGTGTCAGCAGCTCCCTCCCAGCTTCAAGGAACTGCTTGCCTGGAGTTGATTGCTACTTGTAGCCATCCTGCGTGTTAGAGTAGACCTCCCGCTGAGGGTCTGACTGGCTGTAATCTTCAGGGGAGCGGATCTCCAGGTCTTTTCTGCTGCTGCACTTCTGGGTCGGTTTGAACCGCCAAACGTAAACCTTAAATCCTGCACGAAGCTCCATCTCCTTCCAGGAAAGCTGCTTCGCAATCTAAACTGTGGAGAGGCTTGCTGGAGCACAAGGTATTTGAGACAGAACTTTAGGTTTGGAAAAGAATTTTTTCACACGAGAAGATCGTTGTCTCTGTGGAAAGCAGAGGGAGGTAGTGTCCATGCAGGCAGGGGATCTTTAGGTGCAAAAACGCTGTGATGCTGGTGGCCAGGGCCCTGCAGCTGCTCCCACAGCCCAATCCCTCTCCTGCTTTGCAGGGAGCTCATTAAGTAGCCATTAGTCACCCAACGCACACAGACACAGATACACAGATGCTCCTCCGCCCCACGAATTAAAAAAAAACACCCCGCGTAAAGTTTAACCAACTCAGCTGCTACGCTGTCACCTTGGGGGCCGGGGTGGCGGCCTATCGGAGCCGGAACTGTTGACCCTACTCTTCCAGTGAGCAGCGGACAAAAGAAGGCTTCGGGCGTGAGGGAATCGCTGTAAATTTGGGGTCTCCAGTGGCCAGAGGTGGTGCACCAGTGTGTGTGGATTAGCGTTGAGATGGGAAACCTTGTCCAGGCCTCTTTCCAAAGAGCGCCCCCACCCCCGCAAGACTCGCAAACAGTCCTGAGAGCGGCGCATCCTACCAGCCCAACGCCACCACCAGGCCGCTTCTCCCACCTCCCTCCTCTTTTAAAGCGTTCCGGGCTTTAAAAACCAGTCGGGCGATTGGCCGGCTCCACGGGAAGCCTGCCCCTTGGCCCCTCGGCGGGCGCTCGCTTGATTGTAGACCCCCAAGGATCTGAGATCGCTGCAGGAGCCTAGGTTCCTGAAACTGGCGCAGGCTCCCAAGCGGGGTCAGGAAGGACACACCCCCTCTTTAGCCTTTGTCTGAGCCCAAGCCCGGCTTCCAGGAAAGCAGCACATGGATCTGCACCACCTCCTCGCCCCAGTCTACACACACAAGCTGGTAGATTTATGGTACCCTGCCCCCATCCCACCCCACCCCCCAGCCAGCCAAGTCGGAGGACAAAGCGCCCCAAGGCCATTTGAATGCTAATGTCTGGGAGCCAAGCCGCAGAGCTAGCACAAAGGCTGGCTGGGCCCGGGGCGCACGCGACCGCACAGCCCCCCTCTCCTATCCCCCAAGGGCCACTCGACGGACTGTGTGACCTTGGACCAGTCTCCGAACCTTAGTTTATTCTCGGGAGAAGTTAAAGGACTCCCTGAGTGCCTAGCAAAGTCCTGCTGGTGATTTGGAGTTACAGTCCCCAGTACCACAAACGATGCCAAGGACCCTGCAGGGCCGGGCACTGGGGCAGTGTGCGAAGGCGTTGGCAGGACTCAGTTGGAAACACGGTATGCTGCAGAGCAAGAGCTGGATAGAGCGAATTATATTTTTACACTCTTATAATATTCTTTATTGTGTACCTTCTCTCCACATCTCTCCACTTCTCTTCACCCTTACTACCATACCCGACTTCTTAATTCCTGACGATCGTGTGCAAACAAGGGGAGAGGTCACTTGCTAAACTTACCTTCCAACCCCACTTTCATCGTACGAAGAGCTGCCAGAGACTTGGAGCAGTGCGCGCCTCGAAGCTCTTGTACCCTCGAAGGGTCGGTGAGAAGGGCAAGGCAGGGTGAGCCCCATCAGCCGCCGGAGGGGTTGTCGGAACAAGCTAAGACGGAGGCCCGGGTTCTAGTCTAGCAACTTTGAACCTTTTTTTCTGTGCCGCTAGTTAGGAGTGTTGTGAGTTGCGTCTCAGTCTGCTGTCAAAGTACATTCTGACCTGGGAGTATCCTAAAGGCAAGATGTTCACCTACATTTTGGTCGCCCTGGCGCCCGGCGCCTGGAGACGTTCAGGGTTCCTGTCAGCCCCCTCAGCTTGCAGAAATCAAGGTCCAGGCTGACGGGAGCCGGCGCCTGCCTGGCTACGGGATCCACCAGCCCTGTGCGGTTCAGAGAGGCGAGGGCTCGCCTCTGACCATGGTGCTGAAACGACAGCACCGCTCCGGGGCAATAGACGCGCTGCAGATTGTGGTTTGCTTAGCCCACAAAGTCACCGGTCCACCACCTCTACCCAGCTTTCCAGGCCGGATCCTCTAAGGAGCTCCCCGTGGACGCACAGACCCAGAGAACGGTCAAGTTTCCCTGGGTTTGTGGTGGAAAGCCTGAGCTATGCGGCTGCCTACTTCGCCACCCTAGCAAAGTCTCCTTCTCTCTCCGTGGGCCGTGGACTTGTCTTGTACATGAGCAATGTTATGACCTTGTCTGAGAGGCTGGGCGATGGAACAAGGTTGGAAGTGCAGGGTCCGGCAGCTTTAGCTGGGGACACTAGTTTGGAACTTCGCCTACAGCGAGGGGGTCTCATTCCCTGAGTTACAATTATGTTTTCCTTCTAAGATCAAGAGCAAAGAGGATAGTAGAGTGGTTAAGAGCATTTGCTTTATAATCACAGCGACGTGGGCTCCACTTCTGACCTGCCAATAACTGGTGGATTGCAAGTAGACCCCTTTGCCTCTCTAAGACCCATATTTCTCATCTGTATAGTTGAGACAACAAATAGTGGCTGTTTCAATGGACTGTTGTACTGATTGAATGCACTTGCACTTGCAGGGCACAAGCTGAACCTCAGTACATGGCAACCAAATCCACTGCCACCAAGTTGATTTCAGCTCAGCGTGACTCCAAGGACA